CCTGCCCCACATAGTGTTTAATCTAACACAAAATGTTATAGTTGTTACAACAAAATAAACAAGGCTACACAATGTGTAACTACGGACAAACTTTATTCTAGAAATAATTTCTGACATGTTATTCAGCTTCAGTACTCAGCAAATAACAGTAAATCCCTCTACAACTATTGTTATAACTGCAAGAACTATCCCTAGCAATAGAACACAAGAACCTTCCTTCCCCTTTCTGCATTTATACACACATGCACGTGGAAAGCTATCAGCAAATATAATAAAATTACTACTAGATAAGAAAATACAACCTGGTAATTACACTGCTCTTTGGCTCAATCCCCAGATTACAATAAAAACTAATGCAAAAATTCACTGCATTATTACCTCGCCTCTTAACAGCTGATCACATTTTCACATTACCTATACCTTCCTGATGACACAATTAGGTTAGATGACTATTTGTTTCCTCCATGTGCATATGCAACTCATTGGTTTAAAGATACAAAATATGAAGACATTTTATTTGGTTTCTTGGTGGTTTTGTTTATTCGCTTGTTTGGGGTTTTTTTCACAAATTATATGCCAACAGTTCACAAGCACAATTTTTGAAGGATATTTTCATCAATGCCCTTTTGTCTTATCCTTGTATCACAGTAATTATTAAGTCTTGGTACATAAAGGTTAAAGTGTACTTCCATTTGATAATCCAGTTATCCGTTTATTTCTGTAGGGAACACCTCAGAACAGCACAGCACACCAGGCAATGCCTCAGCAGCAAACTGATAGAGAGGGAGTCACTGAGAGAACACCACTCTGCCCTACACCAGAAGAGATCCTAGTGGCTTTCTGGGTGTTTATTTGGCATTCACAATCCAGAATCTTTGCCCCTCACTCAGCCAAACCATTCCTCCAGGAATGGGAGAGACAGCTGCAGACCATTTTCTTTCATATTCTGAGCGGGAAAGTGAAATTGTAGGTCCCTTGTTACAAAGAGACTAAAATGCTTTCATCTGTGATGGCAGGACCATCCCTCAGCTCAGCACCTGAGGGATCTCAGAGGTCTTTTTCAACCTTAATGATTTCTAGGAATCCAGCTGTATTTCCCAGCTTTCCAAAATGTGGCCTGAATATCCCACAAAATTGCTGCTGGATTTAAATGGCATGTAGGGGACTTAATCCTTCCTTTCCTATTCACTGAACTGCAGACAGTGAGTTTAATCTCGTATGCAGGGTGCTCACCTAAAATGAAAATGCTGTCCAAGAGCAATTTTTTTTTAAACTGACACAATCTTTGGAGAAAAATCCAGCTGCAGTGGAATGGGCTTGACATTTTCATTTTCACATTAGAAGCACCATAGCTATACAGTGATATGACACAAGTTGTTGGGATGAGTTCCCAAAAGCAGGTTTTCCTGCTACAAACAGGGGTTTTCTGTTAGAAAGAGGTTTAACTTCCAATAAACAACCTATATTTACACTGTGCCCCTGCAGTGACACATGGCTGCCAGTAAAGAAATTCCACTCAGAAACCAGACACTGGTTGGGCTAAAAGTGTATTTTCTCCCCTGCCTTTTCTATTATGAACTACGTCTAAATTTCTTGGAGCTTTTATTTCATTACCTACAAATTAACTACCAAACAGCTTTCCTCTTAACAAACCCTTTGGTTTCGGCCTGTGGGAACATGATCTCCCATTCAACGTTTCCACAAATAGATCAGAAATTACTACATACACTATGACAGTAATTAGAGACAGATGTAGTTTTGAACGGAGGCCTGTATTTTATGTTACTGGTATGAATTCTGATCAATCAAGTTCAGTACAATTTTAATAAAGAACAGCAGGATTTGGCCCTGAATGCAAGATGCCAACACACTGGCACAAGCACTGTTGTGGCACAAGCACCACTGCCTTTTGCTGAGGTTTTTCCACCTTTTTCAGAGGGAAGCAAGCAAGATGACAACCAACCTAAGTAAGCATTTGAATTAAGATCACTTAAGAGCGTTTTGAGTGCAAATCAGGCTCCTGGAAGTTCTGGAAGAGGAGCCATGCATATACAGGCAGCATACTTCAAATCACGGCATGCAGCCAGCTTCCAGAAAACTGGCAGACTTGGGATATATATAAATATATAAACATTTCGCCAGCATGTTTAGCTACTGCAGCCTAAACATGCTAGGGAAAAAAAGCTATTGAAAGTGAACGCAAACATAAATAATCCTAGCAACATACTATAGCCTCCTTCCTCTAATATTTACATTTCAATTTTTCAAATTCAGTTTTCTTAGACTTTCATATTTGGGGTAAATGACACACACCTTCCAACAGGAAGCAAAATCACACACACAAAATTGGAATTTTTTACCTCACACAGATGTAATTCAACAGGAAGCCAGGATGCTTCCTTCAAGGTAAAAGTTTTGGCATACAGGCTCTAAACAGGCAAGTTAAACTTTCTCTTGCTGGTAGAGTTTTGCACCCCATAACTTGTTCCCCGGAAATCAAGTTTAATGAACAACAGTAGTAAATCAGAATTACATAGACATGTACTATCCAAATAGAAACATGTCTTTAAAGAAAATGAGTAATAGATGTTTTCTCTCCTGCCTTGTTCCTATTGACTTGCACAGGCCCTCCCTGTTCACATCAGATACCTAGAGCCTTAAGAGGCTTTTCCTAAAAGGTACAAAGCATATGTTTAGATGTATAAGAAGTCCTACTGGCAGTATATGTAAACCATTAGTTTTTCTAAACAATAATTTAAGGAATTTTCTGTGGGCTTTTTAACCTTGAGAGACTTTTGGGCAACAAATTAACATAACTTTTAAAAAGCCTACTCACTTCACCCCATATTCAATTTGTTTCTCTTTAAGAAAAGTGGTTAATTAACAAAATTGAACTGAATTAGAATATGATTTTGTATGGAGAGTTATGTGCTACTATATGGCAAATCCTTCTTAATCATCCTTGAACACTGAAACCCCTCAAATCTCCTTATATTCTCTATTTTTTACTATAAAAACCCCACAAGGCTCATGGGAAAACTGAATAATGCAGAATGAAGTTTACAAATCTGACTTCACAGAATCATTCCCTAAATAGGAATATTTTGTGTGTTCTGTAAATATTTTTTAGCCTCAAGCTACTTCAGAAGAATAACCCACGGAGGGAGCAGCTCAGTCCCAGCACTTTGCATCGCTCCCGGGCAATGGGATGGGCAATGACTCAGGTCTCTCACATCGCCTGTGGAACAGGATCTCTGGCCAGGAGAATGCAGTGTCCATCTGCTGGGTTCCCAAGGAGCTGCCAGCTCCACCGGCTCCTCCTGCCAGCTCCTCCGGGCGTTCTCAGCGAGGGCAAAGCTTGGCTGGCACCTGCTGCCTCCCCACGGCTGGACACCCCTCCCTGCTGCCACTACAAAGCTCCTCTTTTGGTTCCTTTCACAGCCAATGTTGCCATCACACCTCTCTGAAACAAGACTGACAAATATTTTGAAAATCATGATTTGCCGCTAGTGCTCGAGGTGTTTAAAATGGCTCTATATATGTTTTTCTAAAACAGACAAGTTGTAAAGGAGAACAGATAACCCAAGAAGCCAACACAGGGACTTAGTGGTTCTTTCCTGCTTTAAGATTTTCACTTCTAGGACTGATGACAAAGCATTATTCCCAAAAAAAAGAAATTTTTCTAGGTCAGCATTTTCCTTTTTTGAAAAAAAAAACCCAAAACTATACAGTCTCACTCTGAAAACATCAACATGCTCTCTTGCTTCAGACTGTTGATTCACGTTGCCAGGTGAGGTGCTGATAAACACACACTTGCGTCACGTTATTTCACAAAATCCTAACAGGACCACATTTATTTTAAGTAATGACATCCCACACTGACATGAATTGGAAACTGTAACATGGCTACAGCTAAAAAGCAAGGCCTGGGCACAAACCCAGTGGCTGCAGATGCCCTGTCCCAGGGTCTGTCTGGAGCACCTGGGACGGGGCGAGGGGAGGAAAGGGGGAGGAAAGGGGGAGGAAAG